ACTCATGCGATCTTTTTTCCTCCAACCCTCTGAGCCATAAAGCGTGTTATCCCCCCTTCAATCCCCATAACGTAACGCCCCCCTTTGCCCAATTGTGCTTCTCCAGCGCTACCATTGTGATGCTCGCAGGCTACTGTGGTGCTTGTCGTGAATGTCCTCGTCGTCGTCGTCGTCGTTTGAGTCGTCGTCATCGTCGCCCCCGTCCCCGTCCTCGTCCTCGCTCCAGCCGTCGTCGTCGCACTTGTCCTCCTCGTCCTCGTGGCCGTCGTCGTCCGTGAGATGACTATCTATCCTGCCCTTCGCAATCGTACCTTTCCGTCCGCCCGGACCTCCAATGGCCAGCCGAAAAGTTGCACAGTCGCGCATCCCCCCGTGTTCGCCAGAAGCAAGTGAATGTCCATCGCGGAGAACTCGCCAGAGCGGGAAAGGATTGCAAATTTGCATGTGTCAGGCGACTGAATGAGCGGCACCTGGCGCCTCCTCCCGGTCCCGCTCGCGGCCGCCTTTGTGGGCGAATTGGGAGTTACCTCATGCCTCTTGCTTGTTGCTCCCGTGGTCGCCGATGTGTGCGCCGCCCCCGAGCCCAGGCAATGCTGAGCGGGCGGTTGGCTGGGAGCTGAGCGGCCAGGGGCGCCGCGGCTGTCCCCCCCAAGCCCGCCCCCCTGGCTCCTCCTCCATCCCCTTCTCCTCCCCCTCCTCCCCGTCCCCCTCCTCCGCCTCCTCCCCCTCCTCCCCCTGGTCCTCCTACTCCTCCTCCTCCTCCTCCTCCTCCTCCTCCTCCTTTGACTCCTCCTCCTCCTTTGACTCCTCCTCCTCCTCCTCCTCCTCCTCCTCCTCCTCCTCCTCCTCTTCCTCCCCCTCGTCTTCAGACTCCTCCTACTCCTCTTCCTCCTCTTTCTCCTCCTCCTCCTCCTCCTCCCTCCTCCTCCTCCCCTCCTCCCCCTCGTGCCCAATCCTCCTCCTCCTCCTCCTCCTCCTCCTCCTCCTCCTCCTCCTCCTCCTCCTCCTCCTCCTCCCTCCTCCTCCTCCTCCTCCTCCTCCTCCTCCTCCTGCTCCTCCTCCTCCCATCCTCCTCTTGCTCCTTCTTCCAACTTCCCCCTCCTCCCATCATCCTCCTACTCCTCCCTCCTCCTCCTCATCCCCCTCCTCCTCCTCCTCCTGCTCCTCCTCCTCCTCCTCTCTCCCCCCTCCTCCTCGTTACCGTCCTCTTCCTCCTCCCATCCTCCTCCTGCTCCTCCTCCTCCTCCTCCTCCTCCTCCTCCTCCTCCTCCTCCTCCTCCTCCTCCTCCCATCCTCCTCCTCCTCCTCCTCCTCCTCCTCCTCCTCCTGCTCCTCCTCGTCCTCCTCCTCCTCCTGCTCCGCCTTCTCCTTCTTCTCTTACCCCTCCCCTCCTGCTTCCCCTCCCCCTCCGCCTTCCCCCCATCCTCCTCCCCCTCCTCGAAATGGTCATCTTCCTCCAGTCCTTTCCCTTATGACAAACTCTGCCCTGCCTCTCCCCGAGGCAGGTCTGTCGGCGGGGCAGGTGGCGTCCCGTGAGATGTCTTCACCATGCCCTGACACTTAAATTTTGCAAGAGCTTCACGGATATAGTTATGATGTCCCAATTTATTTTAGCCTTAACAGTCAGAAAGAATTTCGAGCGCCAGAAAAAGTACCGAAACTCGAAGGTTTTCACGTGTCGGGCCCTGGGAGACATTCGTCCGACACTGTTTCGACACTCTTTCGACATTTGTCTGGGTGCTCGAAATTGTTTCCGGGATGTGGTCCTTGAGTACGATGGGAGCAGCATAAGGATAGAGGGTAGGCCGTTTTCTGCACGTGGTTCTCGCCTCAGCGCCGCGCACATGAGTGTTGAATGGCTGCAGGGGTTGAACAGATGTTTTGGTTTAGCGCTTGGCGCCTGCTCGTTCGTTGTTCAAGTTAGCGTGAGCTTCACGGATGGATGGCGTTGTTTGTTGTTGCTGAAAGTGAGATTATCGTTTCAAAGCCGCGCATCGTCGCCTTAACAGTTTACCGAAGTTCCAAGGATTCTAATGGCTGGCGTCCCAGAAATGCTGCCCAGGCAGGAGTTAGCATCGCCAGGGTGCGACAATCACGCTGATTTGCGGTGATGAGTCCCCAGAAATTGTTGTCTGACATCTTTGAGGGTCGCCAGGTCCCAATATTAATGTTGACTCGCGGCGCTGAAGTCCCATGAATATGGTTCTGGCACGGTTGAAGATCTTCAGACGGTTGCCTTCCAACGGAGCCTCTCCCGCAGTAACAACCAATTTTTACAGGAGCTTATGAAGAGGGATCTTGGAGGGAGGGCTTGTAGCAGCATCGTTGACGAGTCTTGGGTTTACACTGTTCCTCCCTCTCCTCCTTCTCCTCGTCCTCCTCCATTTTTCTTTGTAATAGATAACTCCTCCCTGTCGCACCACCGGGCTCGTCGGTAGGCCCAGGCGATTGTTTGGCATGACGTTCGCAAATCATGATCCTCAGTCTTGAAATTTGAAACAGTTCCGAGGGTGGAGAACGGGTCCTTTTCAAAATGTGTCTCTCGCCTCAGCGCCGCGCACATTCGTTGCACAATAACTCCGACTGTAATAAAGATGGAGGCTTGCTCCTTTTCAAATGTATCGCTCGCTTCAGCGCCGCGCACATGTGTGTGTTTTTTGAAACTTGCGACAGCTTCATGGATGGATGCAGAGATCGGGCACCGTGATGGCTGTCACGGAGTCTGCGCTTGAAGCCTTTTGGCCCGAGAGGCTTTCGGCTTGATACGGACTGAGAAAAGGTTCATCAGTTTCCCTCTTCATGGTATTGCGGAGCCTGGTTGGATCCTCGGTCTGAGAAACCGCCGGGGAGATCGCTCGCCGGCGAGACGCGGCACGAGATGGCGACCAACGAGGAGCTGTTCCGACAGATGCAGGCCCTGACCGCGGAGGTGCAGAGGCTAAGCGAGGAGAACGCTCGACTTCAGCGCGAGCAGCAAGGCGGGCTCCAGGCCATCCCGGCCCTCGTGGATGCTGTGACCCGCCTGACGGGTAGGCCCGACCAGTTCCAGAGGCTCGTCGACACGAAAGGGATCGGCAAGCCCTCGGTGTTCGACGGGTCGGAAGCCAAGTACCGCGAATGGGCTGCCAAGTTCGAGTCGTTCGTAGTCGGAGTCTTCGGCGAGCAGTTCAGGGCGGTGCTGGAGTGGAGCGTCGAGCGGCACGACTCGATCGATCGCGGGCTCTGGCAGGCGGCTTTCGGGCCGCACAGCGAAGGCGAGATCGACCACATCGACGAGATGGTGGCGCAGCTGCACACGGCGATCCAGCAGCTCGTGACGGGCGACATCACTCAGAACGTCGACAAGGGCAACGGGCTCGAGTGCTGGAGGCGCCTCGCGAGGAGGTTCGACCCTTCCACCGGCGGGCGGAAGCGGAACTTGTTGAAGCAGGTGCTCTCGCCCGGGCGCTGCAAGCTCGAGGAGCTCGCGGGTGCCCTGGAGAGGTGGGAGGAGGCCGTGAAGCGGTACGAGTCCAGGAGGGACGACGACGGCAACCGCGAGCGGCTCTCGGACAGCGTGCGGATGTCGGCCTTGGAGAGCCTACTACCGGCTGAGCTCGAAGAACACGTTCTTCTCAACCAGAGCCGCCTGAACACCTACGAGCTGCTCAGGAGGGAGATCGCGTCATACCTGGAGGCCAGGACCGGTGCTCGACTTCGAGACGCCCCGGTGCTCACCAAGGCGCAGCGCGACCCCAACGCCATGGACATCGGCGCCCTGGTCCGCGCGCACCAGAGCGGGAAGACCGGCAAGGACAAGGGCGGCAAGGGCAAGACGGGCACTGGCAAAGGCAAGGACGACAAAGTTAAGAAAGGAGGTAAGGGCTCAGGTTCAGGCTCAGGCAAGGGGTCTGACACGTCCCACCTCGTCTGCTGGAACTGCGGGCGTTCGGGGCACAAGAGCTCGGACTGCTGGAGACCGTCGGCCTCGGCGGAGGTGATCGCCAAGGCTAAGGCTAAAGCCAAGGGCAAGCAGAAGCCGAAGGGCGGCGGCAAGCACGACGCGGGCGCGCTGGACGTCGGGAAGTCCGAGGAGGAGCCCCCGGGCGACTGGGAGCCAGAGGACCACATGTTCTTGGAGCTGTTCTCCGCCGAGCGCGAGGAGAGCGCGAAGGAGGTGAACAGGAGGATCGTGGACGACAAGGGCTGGGTGAAGGTCAACTTCGACAGCGGATGCGCGAGCTCGGTGATCCCCCGCGCATGGACTCCAGCGACTTCGGCCCCTTCGAGTCAGAGGTTCAAGACGGCGAGTGGTGGTATCATCGCAGACGAGGGCGGCGGGGTGTTGGGGGGCGTCAACGAGAATGGCGCCAGGATGCGCCTCGCCGGGCGCAGGGCTGCCGTTACCAAACCCCTCGTCTCGGCCAGCGAGATGCTCAGGAAGAGGATCGGCATCCTGGACGAGAGCTGCGGCATGGTGATCGAGAAGGGTTCCACTGCCGGACGGGCGATCATGAAGCTGGTCGCTAAGCTCAAGGAGACTGGAGCGCTGGAGAACAACATCAGGTTGCACCAGGAGCGCGGGGTACACAACGCCTACCTGAAGTTGCCGGAGGAGAAGGCCAGGGAGCTGGAGCAGCTGCCGCTGAACACGATCGAGTCGGAGCTGGCCCATCGCCGAGCCGAAGCGGATCTACTCGCTCGAGCACGCGCAGGGCTTGCTTCGCCGGCCCGGCTTCCCGCCTTGCAGGCGTCGGGGGGCAGCCGGCGGGTACCACCGTAAGTCCGAGCGCGCCGCCAGCAGCCGGGCAGCTGGCAGGAGGCACGGAAGCCCCGGTGGAGCAGCGAGGAGGACCGCTGCCCCAGGAGGAGGAGGCTCGAGAGCAGCGCGGCAGGCCGCCGCGGGTTCGGCTGGCTAGGAGTCCAGCCCAGCCGACCGCTCTCGAGATCGAGGAGCACGAGGCGCAGGGCCACGTCCACTTCAGGTCCTGGTGCCCTTCGTGCTGTGCATCGCGTGGGACTGGCCAAGCGCATCGTGGACATCAACCTGCTGAGGGAGAGGTCCCTACGGTCGTCACCGACTACGGCTACCTCAACGCTAGCGAGTCGGACAGCAGAGGCCGCGACGCCAGCTCTGCGATCACGGTGTTGGTGATGCACGACTGCTTGCCGAGCGGGACGGGCTGCTACGGCGCGAGCTCGGTCCCGGCCAAGGGGAAGGACGACTTCAGCTCGAGCGTGGCGGTCGACTTCTTCAATCACATCGGCCACAAGAGGTGCATCTACCAGTCGGACGGCGAGAACCCGCTGCTGGCGCTCAAGAGGGACGTCTGCAGCAAGGCCGAGGGGAAGGAGCTGCTGCTTCGCGAGAGCCCGGTGGGAGAGCACCAGGCGAATGGAGCAGCCGAGAACGCGGTGAAGGTCATCAAGGGCGTCGTCAGGACGGTGCTGGTGTCGGCCCAGGCCAAGTGGAAGCATCGTCTGCCGTTCGGGCACCCGCTGATGCTGTGGGCCCCCACCTATGCGGCCCAGATGCTGAATAGGTTCAAGATCGGCGACGACGGCAAGACGAGTGAGCAGAGGAGGTCTGGCAAACGCTGGGAGAAGGTGACGGTTCTCTTCGGCGAGCGCATCCAGGTGAAGAAGCTGGTGAAGGACTCGCTCAAGCGCGACCTGGAACCCCGCTGGGTCACGGGCTACTACGCGGGCCACACCAGCAGGAGCGGCACGGCGCTGGTGCTCACCTCGAAGGGGGTGCAGCGCGGCACGGCGATCTCACGCCTGCCGCCCGCCGAGCGCTGGGCCTGGAACGAGGAAGAGGTCCTCGGGCTCAAAGGCAAGCCTTGGGACTGGAAGGGCGGCGAGGAGCGCTACGCGGCAGCTCCGGCGGACGTCGCCCCGAGAGCTGGGCGCATGGATGCGCCAGTGGTGGTGGCGCTGCCAGCAGCCGCGGAGCCGCGAGACGTGGGCTTCTACGTCACCAGGGCCAACATCCTGGACGCGGGCATCGGGCCGACCGAGGGCTGCGTCGCCTGCGAGAACCTGGTGGCTACTGGTCGCGCAGGAATTGCCCACTCGGAGCTGTGCCGACAGCGCGTGATCGAGGCGCTGGCGGCTCGAGGTGATGAGCGACTTCGCCGGTTCAGGGAGGCGAAGGCAGCTGAGGAGGCTGAGGAGAAGCAGGCGAGAGGAGGCGAGGCGGGCCGGGCGGCGCCAGGAGCCGCCGCCGCCGCGCCGCCTCCCCCACCAGCCCCGAGAGACCTCGAGGGCAGGAGAGGCGCGAAGCAGGCGCGGGCGGATCCGCCGCCCGTGGGGTCTTCGGCGCCGCGCGTCAGGAGGCGCGAGGAGGAGCAGCCGCCCCAGGAGGCGCGTGCAGCCCCCCAGCCTATGGCGGTGGACCTTCGGGGCGCGGCCCCGAGGCCAGCAGGAGGAGGTGCAGGAGCGCCGCTCTCGCTCCCTACGCCGGCCGCGGGCCCTGGAGGCCTGGAGCCAGCATCCGCGGCGGCTTCGGGCTCAGGAGGCCCGGCGCCGGCGGCGGCAGCACCAGGCCCAGGAGGCGCTGGACCTGCTGCCATGGAGACGGGCGGACTCGAGGAAGTGCCGCTCGAGTTGCAGTCGCTCGCGTTCTCGGAGTACTGCAACCCAGGATGCTTCACTGAGCTTGCTGGGGAGTTTGGCATGCTCCCAGGGCTAGCGGCGGACATCAGCCTCAAGGACCGGGAGTCCCAGGAGGCGCTGGACATGAGGAAGATCGTGAACCAGCAGAGGTACATGCAGGCGCTCGAGGACCAGGACCCCTACTTGGTCATCGGGGCGCCGCCCTGCACGCGCGTCTCGAAGCTGACGAGCTTGAACCGCGGCAAGTACAAGGACCCGGAGGCGCACGCCAAGGCCGAGGAGGACGATCGTGCGTTGCTTCGCTTCGGGATGGAGGTCTACAAGGATAGGCACGCCAAGGGCAGGTGGTTCTTGCACGAGCACCCTTGGGACGCCAAGTCGTGGGACGACGAGGCGGTGAAGGAGGTGATCTCGCTCCCGGGGGTGTACCTCGTGCGAGGGGACATGCGCGCCTGGGGCCTGGAGCTCAAGGGCGACGACGGGAAGGTCGGGCCGGTCAAGAAGAGCACCGGCTGGCTGACCAACAACGAGCGCCTTGCTAAGGTGCTAGCAGTCTGTTGTCCTGGGGGACATCGACACGTACCGCTACTTGGCGGAGGCCGTGCTAGGAAGGCGCAGTCCTACACGCCTTCGCTACGCCGCGCGATCTTGCAGGGGCTCAAGGAGGAGCTCGAGGTCGCGGGCGAGATCAACTCGTTCGAGGGCGTCGGGCCGGTGCCAGACGAGGAGGCGCAGTACTTCAAGCCAGACGCCCCTCCAGGTGCAGCGGAGTCAGACAATTGGTACTGGGACGACGTCAACGGGGGCTGGCTCGACCCTGCGGGGGTGCGGGCCGCGCGCCAGGAGGAGCTGGCCTGGATGAAGCATCGCGAGGTGTTCGAGCCGAGCGACGAGGAGACCTGAAGGCGCCTGACCGGTCGGGCGCCGCTACGGACGCGCTGGGTCGACACCAACAAGGGCGACGAGCAGAGGCCAAAGCACCGCTCCAGACTGGTCGCGATGGAGATCAAGGCTGCGAAGAAGGCGTCCGAGCAGATGAGCGCGAGCGAGCTCTTCAGCAGCACGCCGCCGTTGGAGGCGGTCAAGCTCCTGTGCTCGCTCATGGTCTCGATGGGCCGTTCGCCCCGAGGACTCCCTCTCAAGATCGGCTTCTGGGACGTCAGCCGGGCGCACCTGTACGGAGTCGCCCAGAGGGTCTTGTTCGTTCGTCTTCCAGAAGAGGAAGGAGGAGGAGTCGCTCGCCTGCTACGTTCCATGTACGGTACTCAGGACGCGGCTTCAGTGTGGCAGAGCGACTGGAGTCGACAGCTCTTGGAAGATTCGTGGCGCATGGGCGTGGCAAGCCCAGCTGTGTTCTATCGTTCCAGTGATGAAGGTCGCGGGTTGGCTCACGGCGACGACTTCATGGTGCTCGGCGACGAAATCACGCTGAAGGAGATCGAGGCGAAGCTGACCGAGCGCTACGACATCAAGTGCACCGGGATCTTGGGTCCCGACAGCGGGGGCGCGAAGGAGGTCGTGTTCCTCAACAGGGTGTTGCGGTACGTTGACGGCTCCACCCCGGCGGTGGAGATCGAGTCGGACCAGAGACACGTGGAGCTGCTGATCAAGGAGCTTGGCCTCGAGAGCGAGTCGAAGGGCTTGGACGTGCCGTCGGTCAAGAAGACGGAGGCGGACATCGACTACGAGGCGAAGCTCAGCACGCTGCCCCTGGACGAGGTTCGCCGGTATCGAAGCGTAGTGATGCGTGCTGCCTACCTCACCTTGGACAGGCCAGACATCGTCGACGCGGTCAAGCAGTGTTCGAGGCGCATGCAGGCGCCGACGTCAGCGGACATGATGATGGTCAAGAGGCTTGGGAGGTATCTCGTCAAGCACCCGTGCCTAGTCGCGAGGTTCAACAAGCAGAAGATGCCTGACAGGATCACGGCCACCTGCGACTCGGACTACGCGGGCTGCCTCATCACCAGGAAGTCGACGAGCGGGACCGTCCTGGCGTTCGGGGAGCACACGCTGTCGGCTACGGGATCGCTGCAGAGCACGGTGTCCCTTTCGAGCGGCGAGGCCGAGTACTACGGCATCCTCCGTGCGGCTGCTGCCGCGCTCAAGGTTGCTGCCATCGCCGTGGACCTCGGGCTCGAGAAGAGCGTCGAGGTCGTCTGCAAGCACGGGGAGTTCCCGGTAGAGGTCTGCGGGGACTCGACCGCGGCGATCGCGTTCGCATCGCGCCAGGGCCTGGGTCGTCAGAAGCACGTGATGACGAGGTACCTGTGGCTTCAGAGCGCGGTCAAGGCCAAGAGGATCAAGCTCAAGAAGGTCGCCACACGGGAGAACGTGGCCGACTCCTTGACCAAGCCGTTGTCGGCGAAGGTGGTCCAGAAGCATCTCAAGAGGATGGGGTACCACTTCAGGTCGAGGTGGAGCGCCCTGCACCGGACGATCGCCAAGAGATCGGCGACGTGAGGTTCATGAGCGGGGTGCTGTGCCAGCTTTTCGTGATGGGCACGTTGCCCGTCCCACCATTTTCCTGTCGCTTCGCGACGCTTGCACGACCGGCCTGTGCGGCGAGACGGCGCCTGGTGGTGGCTGCCTAGCTTAGGGGCTAGTTGCCAAGGAGGACTGCAGAGATCGGGCACCGTGATGGCTGTCACGGAGTCTGCGCTTGAAGCCTTTTGGCCCGAGAGGCTTTCGGCTTGATACGGACTGAGAAAAGGTTCATCAGTTTCCCTCTTCAATGGAGGCCGACTTCTGTTTAACATGTGGCTCTCGCGTTAGTGCCGCGCGCATGAAAGCAGTAATTGCTTCAAAGATGGAGGCCCATTCCTTTCACATTGTGTCTCTCGTATCAGCGACGCGCACTCCAAAGCGACCCTTATCCTCACCATCCTTCGCAATTTCTGGTCACATCCATACGACCCAATTCCCACCGTCATATGTTGACAAGTGCACTCGGCGCACATCCATTCATCCCACGCTTAACCTTTAGACGCAGCGCTCCCACACTTGGTTCACATCCACCCGACCCAACTGATCCATCCTATGTAACGAGTTGTATTCGGCGTGGACCCATACGGCCCAACCATTACCACCCCTTGTGAATCTTGATTCGGTGCACATCCATCCGACAGCCCCCACCATCCGACGCACAAATTATAATTCGGTGCCCTCTGTGGATCTTGAACATCGGCCCACCCCTGGTCCCGAAGAGCTCTGGGCGCAAGATGCCTAACAAGTGAATCCATCGTTAAGAGAGACATCATTGATCGATGCGTTTCGGGCACCCCTTGCCGACTCCGATGTTGGACCTTAGTGCTCCCCAGGCTGCCCCAGACGCTGCACGACGCTCCCAGGGCGTTCCATGGATGGAAGGCGGCTCCGTTTTCGAAACGGGGCTCGCGCGTGAGATTTCCGCGAAGCGTACGTCCATGATATTGTCATCCTGCAACGCCTAGACGGAGGGAAGGCATGTCCTTTCCAAATGAGGTTATCCCTGGATCTCTTTGGATGGCTCTCTCATGGTTCGGTGGGGTTCCCTGTGGGGCCACGAAACGCTGGACTGGGTGGGTGAAAATGACAAATTGGGTGTGTGGGACGCATGCTGGCGGTCCCACTGGGGGCTTCGGTGGAGCTCCCTATGGGGCCACGAAACGCTGGACTGGGTGGGTGAAAATGCCAAATGCAGTTTCTGGGACGCATGCGGGCGGTCCCACTGAGGGCTTCGGTGGAGCTCCCTGTGGGGCCACGAAACGCTGTACTGGGTAGGCGAAACTGCCAAATTAGGTTTCCTGGACGCACGCGGACGGTCCCACTGGGGGCTTCGGTGGAGCTCCCTATGGAGCCACGAAGCGTTGTACTGGGTGGGTGAAAATGCTAAATTGGGTTTCCGGGACGCATGCGGAGGGGAGACCCGACGAGGACCTTAATACGGTTTCCGGTGCCCTCGGAGCCCCCTCACGACCCCCCGAGAGGTCAAAATCATTCAAGCACCGCAAGGCAATCAATGCTTGCTGCCTTATCGCCTTTTCGCTTCCAATCCGCTGCAGATGCCTCAAGGTTGTCCCAAGATGGCCCAAGAGAGTCCCAAGAGGGGCCCAAGAGCCCCACAAAACGTCCCAAGAGCGCCCAAGATCGCCCTAAGATCGTCCCAAGAGCGCCCCAAGACATCGGGACAACCCCCATTTTCATCGATGGCCTCCAGGATGGCCCCAAGAGGCCCTCCCCCCAGTGGGACCGCCTGCATGCGTCCCACACATTCAATTTGGCATTTTCACCCACCCAGTACAGCGCTTTGTGGCCCCATAGGGAGGAGCTCCACCGACGGCCCCAGTGCTACCGCCCGCATGTGTTCCCCCCCACCCAGTGCAGCGCTTCGTGGCCAGATTCACCGAACAAATATTACAATTGCGGTACCAAGAACTGCATATGGTTGCTCCTTCGCCCGGATAATTTCATCATCGGAGGTCCTCTTGGAGCCACTTTGGGACATCTTGGCCGCACTGACACTTTGTGGCCCGCTCCCCAGCACCTTTAGGAGGGGAGGGCAGGGGGGGGCACCCCACCCCCGAAAGGGGCAGGGTTTTTTGGAAGAGGAAACAATGGTATTGCCAGACCACCCAAGCCCAACGGGCTGGTGGGATTATGTGTCCGTTATTGGAGAGTCGTAGACAACCGATTGCGGTGACCCATTCATGTACGTTTGCTTGTCTATTGTCGAGGCTATGTATGCATGTATGTATGTATGCATGTATGTTTATGTGTATGTACGTATGCATGTAGGTATGTATACATGTATGTTTGTATGTATGTATGTATGTATGCATGCATGCCTGTATGTATGTATGTATGTATGTATGGGTGTGTATGTATGCATGTATGTCTGTCTGTCTGCCTGCCTGCCTGTCTGTCTGTCTGTCTGTCTGTCTGTCTGTCTGTCTGGTCTGTATATATGTATGTATGTATGTATGTATGCATGTGTGTATGTATGCGTGTATGTTTGTATGTATGTGTGTATGTATGTGTGTATGTATGTATGTATGTATGTATGCATGCATGCATGTATGTATGTATGTATGTATGCATGCATGCATGTATGTATGTATGTATGTATGTGTATGTATTTGTATGTATGTGTATGTATGTGTATGTATGTACGTACGTACGTACGTACGTATGTATGTATGCATGCATGCATGCATGCATGCATGCATGTATGTATGTATGTATGTGTGTATGAAAGAGCGCGTTCTGTGGTCGCTTGGAGGGGGGAGGGGTTGAAACCGGACCCCTCCCCTTCCCTCCTCTGCTTCCCCTCTCCTCGGGCAGGCGCTTGTGTCGGCGGCGGCTGGCGACGGCGGCGGGGACGACGATTTCCATTTCTGGGCCAGCGCCGGCGCCTGCGGCGGCGGGCGGCGGTGGCGGGGAGCGTCGACGAGAACGACGGTGGTGGTGGTGCTGGTGGGTTGTGGTGGGTTGTGGTTGAGGTGGTGGTGGCGGTGGTGGTGGTTGTGGTGGTGGTGGTGGTGTGGTGGTTTGTTGTGTGGTGGTGGGTGGTGGCGGTGGATGGTGGTGGTGGTGGTTTGGTGGTCGTGTGGTGGTGGTTTGTGGTGGTTTGTGGTGGTGGTGGTGGTGATGGGTTGTAGCGGTGGTGGTGGTCAGTGGTGGTTTGGTGGTGGTGGTGGTTTGTAATGGAGGTGGTGGGTTGTGCTTGTGGCGGTGGTTTGTGGAGGTGGTGCTGGTGGTGGTGGCGGTGGCGGTGGTGGTGGTGGTGGTGTGGTGGTTTGTGGTGGTGGTGCTGCTGCTGCTGGTAGTGGTGGTGGTTGTGGCGGTGGTGGTGGTGTTGTGGTAGATTGTGGTGGTGGTGGTGGTAGTGGTGGTAGGTTTTTGTGGTGGTGGTGGTGATGGTG